TTACCAATTTCAGATGTTATTGCGTGGCCTCCTCCTCGGAGGGCTTTCCAAGAATTTCGCTCGAGTTTTTGGGGTTTCTGGTCTTGAAGTGCCTGTACGAAGATCTAATTGTCCGGGCAACCACATGGGCATGGCAAGCTGCAAGTGAGGAAAAACACATCATCTTCCGAATGAAGATTCGGGCAACACCACTTGTGGTATAACCAAGCCGAACATCATGCATACGTCGTGGGCCGGTGCATGCTAAAGGTGCGCTGCTATCCGTGTGGTAGGCTATCCAGACACAGCCCCATTTGAAGAATTGCACCTATCGCATGTGCAATGATCCAAGTAACATGTCCGAATCCGCCGACCCCGTGTGGCCCCAGCTGCTTGAGCAGTCGTGAGCACAGAAGGAGGAGGCACGAACGGAGTAGGAAGCAAATCTCTGTTGTTAGGCGATCCGGGGTTCTCTTGAAGGTCCTTCTGGACTGTCGTCGGGCCCTTTCGGGGTCGTTTTGGGGCCTTTAGGGGCTGTCTCAGGGGGCTCTGGCCGTCGTAAGCCTGCTGTCTTGGGCCTTTCTTGGGAGCCTCTTGGGGCCGTGTTGGGTCGTGTCGGGGCTCTCTTGGGCCGCCTTGGGGCTATCTTGGGCCGTCGTGGGGCTCCCTGGGGCTGTCTTAGGGCCCTCTTGGGGCTTTGTAGAGGCCTCTGGATCCGTTTTGGGACGATTTGGGGGAGCCTCTTGAACCGTTCTGGAGCCATGGAAATCAAAACAAAGAGTATGGCAAAACATGTGCGTTTCTTACAACAACAAATTGAATGATGTGAGCTTGTTTGACGTTCTCTTGGGGCTCTTCGGGGCGTCTTGGGGGCGTTTGGGACCGTCTTGAAGCTACTTAGGGGCCTTTTTTGACGTTGGGAGTCTCTTGAACAGTCGTGGAGCCACATGAGACCATCTTGGAGCGCTCCTGGGCCGTCTTGGAACCGTATTGGACCTCTTTGGAGCCGAATTGGGCGCCTGGGGTGGTCGAGGGCGGCCCTGGCCCTGTATATATATATATATATATATATATATATATATATATACATATATATATACACAATATACATGTATATAGCTTTATATAGCTCTTTATATATACATATATTTATAGATACAAGACTGCAGTAGCGCTTCGCGCCATGCACCTTGGTCCTTGAAGTTTGGCATGCGGGCGGAATAGCAGGAAGGTCAAACCGACAATTCAGCGATAACTCCTTGTTGCCTTTTCTGGCATCGCCGCTATAACAATGTTATTCGTTGGCCTTCCTCCATGCTTCTTTTTCCTCATGTTTGCCATACCCTGTGCATTCTCCCCATCCTCCTCAGCTCTTTTTTGCGGAGGCTCCTCCTTGGAGAGCCTCTGGGGGCCTCACAAAAAATTGTTTCAGGCGTTCTTAAAGCCTTCTGGAGGCCTCCTGGGCGTATTCTGGGGGCCTCTGGAGGCTTTCTCGGGCCACCCTGCTTCCAACCGCGGTCTCCCTGAACGACCGGGTCACGATTTGGAGTGCTTCGGAGAGTGTCTTGGGGCCATCTTGGGCCGCCATGGAGCTCTCTGAGAGCCATCTTGGATCCGTATTACGCCGTTTTAGGGCTCTCTTGGACTGCCTGGAAGCCCTTTCGGATGGTTGTGGGGCGATACTGGAGCCTCCCAAGCGGCTTCCGACGCCCAGAAGACCGCCGTCTTAGAGCGTCGGGAAACCGAAAAGAGGAGAACCCCCAAATTCACCAACAACTAACAGAAAATGAATGATTTTTGCCTCTTGGGGCCTTCTTGGGAGTGCTCTTGGAGGCCGCTGTGGGGCCGTCCTGGAGGCCTCTTGGGCCATCTTGAGGTCACGTCGGTCACTCTTGGAGCGCTCTTGTGCTGTCCTGGGGGTCTCTGGGACGTTTCCGACGACCCGCCTGATCGCCCTAGGTGTGCTGGGAAGGCTTGGCAAAACGCCCTGCGAGGCCCGGGGGGCCGCTTCGAGGCCCGTCCGGAGGGTCCCAAAGCCCCAGATCCCGGGAGTTCGGTTTTGGGGTGGAGGGGGGGGTTTCCCCCCGCCCGGGCTTGTAAAAATATAGGAATAGGAATATATAATATATATATATATATGATTATATATATATGATATATATATATATATATATATATATATATATATATATACTCCTCTTCCTATACTTTTACAAGCCCGGGGGGGGGGGGGGAAACCCTCCCCCCCCAAACTGGACCCCCGGGATCTGGGGTTCTCGGGCTCCCTTGGACGTCCTTGGAAAAGGTCACCCGGTTTTTCGGGTCTGCACCAACGCATTGCCAGCAGAACCAGAGCGATCCGAGGGGTCATCAGAAAAGGCTCAAGGGAGGCCCCAGACAGCACAAGAGCGCTCCAAGAGGGACTCCAATTGCGTCAGGACGGCCCAAAAGACCCCCAAGGCACCCAAAAAAGCTTTCCACGGGGCCTTCAAAACACAAAAATCGCCCCATTCTGTCGCAAAGCTTACAACTTTAGCATATTCTTCTCTCGGATTTCATCAGCTTTCAAGACGGTTTCAAAGCACCCGAGATCGCCTCCAGACGCTCCAAAAGGCCCTCAAGGAAGCTTCAAGACGGCCGAGCCAGGCCCCACGATCGCCCACGAGAGCCCCAAGACAGCCCGTAATGGAACCAAGAGGCCCCCCAAGGGCTCCCAGCACAGATCCAAAAGGGCCATGGGAGGTCCCCGGAAGTGCCCAAGATGGGTCCAAAGGGGGCTCCAGCGGGCCCAAGCTCCCCAAGACGGCCCAAGAAGGCACCAGGACGGCCCATGAAGGCGCCAAAACGGCCCACGAGGGCCCCGAAAACACCCCCACGATGTTCCCGAATGCCAACATAAAGACCCCCAAGGCACCCCAAAAAGCTTTCCAAGGGGCCTTCAAAACACAAAAATCGCCCCATTCCCGTCGTACAACTTACAATTTTAGCATATTCTTCCCTCGGATTTCATCAGCTTTCAAGACCGTTTCAAAGCACCCGAGATCGCCTCAAGACGCTCCAAAAGGCCCCCAAGAAAGCTTCAAGACGGCCGAGCCGGGCCCACGATCGCCCACGAGAGCCCCAAGACAGCCCATAATGGAACCAAGAGGCCCCCCAAGGGCTCCCAGCACAGACCAGAAAGGGCCATGGGAGGTCCCCGGAAGTGCCCAAGATGGGTCCAAAGGGGGCTCCAGCGGGCCCAAGCTCCCCAAGACGGCCCAAGAAGGCCCCAGGAAGGCCCATGAAGGCGCCAAAACGGCCCACGAGGGCCCCGAAAACACCCCCACAACGTCTCCGAATGCCAACATTCATTGATTTTGCCCCCATGACATTCCACATTGTGACCCAGTCATTGCTCCGGCGTGCACCGACAAAGCACGCACGAGTTGCAGATGATGCATGTTCATACCGTTACACACAAATTTATGTGTACCTATGTACGATGTACACACACATACAACAATGTAAGTATACTGTATACACCTAGACATATATACGGAACGTGCATGCGCGCGCGCGTGTATACATGCATGCGCGCATGTACGCACGCACGCATTCCGCTTGCGTGCGGAACTCACAGGACCAAGGTGCATGGCGCGCAGCGCCAGTGCAGTCTTGTATATGTGTATATATATATGTGTGTGTCAGAAATACATGTACGCCCCCATCGATACACACATGTACATTATACAATTATACACATGCCTAAACACGGCTTCTGCCTTGGCCTCCCCCCAGCCTCCACTCAGGGCGAGGATCTGCCGGAGGCGAAGCCCCTTTAAGATAAAATTGCGGCTGGGCCCGTGATGTTCCCTGAGATCCGGCGCCCCGAAAAAAGTAACACATCGCGAGAAATCAAAAGCAGAGCCCTCGGCCTCATCCTTCGACGGCATCTCTCGAGCCCCATCGACCTGCGGGCCCGCCCCCGGGTCACGAAACCGCGCGATATCGCCTGGTGCGCAAAAAATGCAGCGCCCTGATCTCAGGGCTGCGGGTTGGAGTATAGGGCGGTTTGAGACATTTGCGAAATCAACATCGGTCCCAGGACCTCTCCCGGGGTCCCAAAACACAAATTTTCCGCGCTGCGTTCAGCCGTGGCGACGACCCTGAGATCCGACGTCTCGAAAAAGTTGAAGCTTGTGAAAAATCAGGTCCGGAGCCCTATACCCCATCTTCCTGCCTCATTATTCGAGCCGGATCGGGTCATCGTCGTCGTCGTCGTCGTCGTCGTCGTCGTCGTCGTCGTCGTCGTCGTCGTCGTCGTGGTCGTCGTCGTCGTCGTCGTCGTCGTCGGTCGCCTTCTTTCGTCTCGCGCCCACCGCGCCGCGCGATGCCGCGAGCTTCGATCGTCGCGCTCCTTGTCGCGCGGCCTGCATGGATCTGTCCCGCCCTGGCCCGGAAGCGCGATCTAAGACGAAACCAGGACGATGATGAAATCGGGTGAGGATATACCCTGAGATCCTGGCGACCCATTTTTTTCGGGCCGGCCGTTTTTGCTCGATTGCGGGCCCCGGGACCCTCACGGATCGACGAGGCCCAAAAAATGACGCAGAAAGATGGGGCCAGGGGGTTCCGTGGTGATGTTTGCGATGTTGCTTTTTTTGCAACGTCGGATCTTAGGGAATCTGGAAGCTTTGAGATCCAACGGTGTTGGGGGATGTCTCGGGCGCCGTGGCCTTGTCAGAGCGTTTCGAGAACGCTCCGAGAGGGTGCTGGAGCGCTCTGGAACGGATAGATATGTCCTCGTCCTAGCCCCGTCCGGCGATCATCTTAGCGCCCTCGTCTGGGGCCTCGGGTCTCAATCGGACTCTGTGGTTCATGGATCTGCTTGGAACTATCGGGCTCTAGAACTGAGACCAGCTTGTCCCTTGGTACTCATTGGGTTGGTGGTACGCTGCGACCCAGAAGGACCGACCTGTCAGGCCTCGGGGCTACCACCTGCTTGGACTGACGATTGATCGACTTAACCATGGGTCCCCTGCCTTGGAAGCGTCTGCAGCCACGGCGACTGGTTCACCATCGCCTTGCACGTAAACGCCAACCGCACATAAACACCGACCCTGGGCAGGCTCATGCTGGGCCCAGGATCGAGGTCCCGGCTTGGCCAAGAATGCGTGTGCGCGCGCGGGCATAGACCTTCGACGCCGGCGGAGGACTGGCTGAAAACGGCGCGCTCCCCACATAACAGCGACGACGGCATCCAGAAAATGCAGATGGATCTCGGCCGAGATTTCTGCCAGCGTTAAGTCGGGCGTGTCCCCCTACAGGGGGATTTTCGACGAAAAATGAAGAATACCCCAAAGATACTCAAAAGATAATCCAAAATAATCTGGGATTACTATGTTTGAGTATTTTTAAAAAACCTTTTTGGGGTATTGTTTGAACATGTTTTATTTTTCGTCGAAAATCCCCCTGTAGGGGGACAGGCCCTACTTGATGCCAGCGCCCAGCATGCACCGATCCCGTATCCGAGGCCAGCCTGGCCAGTGTCGGTGCAGACGTCTGGCCGGCGCCTCCCGCCCTGGTGGCACGCAGAAGAAGGTGGCGCGAGGCGGAGGGCCTGATTGGACGGTAGAGGGGGCTCCCTCGTGGGGATCGGCGGAGGCTTCTGAGATGGCTTCCCGGAGGATGGGCGCTGGGCTGCGTGGAAGCCCCCCTGTCTGCTGAGGAGGCCGCCCCGCCCCCCGAAGCGGGAACTAGAGGCCTCCCAGATGGGGTCGGAGTAGATGGGGTCGGAGGACCGCGCCGCATCGCCGATACATTGGCGATACATCGGCGATGCATCGGCGATGCATCGGCGATGCACCGGCGATGAGGCGTCGACGTCGGCGATGTATCGACGACGTCGGCGTGGGGAAAAGCGGGCTCCGCATAGAGCGGCATCGTCGATGTATCGGCGATGCGGCGCGATCCTCCGACGCCATCTACTCGGACCCCATCTGGGCGACCTAGAGGAACGCTGGGGGGAACCACCTCCGTAGGGGGAAGCACCGAGCTGGCTGGAAGCGGAGATACCTCGCCGAGGCTTCTGGGATGGCTTCCCGGAGGAGGGGCGCTGGGCCGCGTGGAAGCCCCCCTGTCTGCTGAGAAGGCCGCCCCGCCCCCCGAAGCGGCAACGCTGGGGGGGGGACCACCTCCGTGGGGGGAAGCACCGAGCTGGAAGCGGAGATGCCTCGCCGACAGCTCGGCGAGAGGCCCCCGACATGACAGCGAGGCCGCACGCTCTCCAGGGCGGGGCGGGCCACCGCGCCCCCGTCGGCGACGCAGGGGGCGGCTCGGGGTCGACGCGCCTCCCTCCCCTCCGAGCAGGGGCTCGACTGCAGGATTGATGCGCCCCAACATTGATTTGTGCAGCGAGCCTACGGCAGATGCGCAGACTGCTCCGTGGACGGGGGATCAGTTAGGGGACCAGAACAAGACATAGACATAACAACTCGGAGGTCCGCGCGGATTTCTCGGATCCGCGCTGGACCCCCCTCCCTGGCGCGCGGAGCGCGCCAGGGGCGGCGCTGGGGGGGCGGCGCCGGAGGCGCCGCAGGGGGGCCCCAGCGCCGATCCGAGAAATCCGCGCGGACCTCCCAGTTTTGATGTTTATGCCACTCTTTGATCCCCTGAAATGCGCAGCCTGCTCCGTGGACGGGGGGGCAATGCTGGGGTAATCCCGTGCTGTGGTCGACCCCCCACTCGACCAGCTGAGACCGCCCCCGTGCCCGGCGGCGCTCGGGCCGCCGCTCTTCGGAGGGCACCAACTATACACCAACACCGATCCTGGCCCAGGATCACCCTGGGCCCAGGATCGGTGTATATGCCTTCTTGCGCAAGGCAGGAGGGAAAGGATCGAGGCGGTGTCGAGCGAGCAGCGCCTCCCGGCCCGACAAGCACGTGGAAGCCCTCCAGCTTCGGTACACTTTCTTGGTGCTCGAAACTCTTTCTGTTGATCAAGGCGCTACAGTAGGTTGGAACATCAAAAACCTCGAGCCCATCCCCCCTCAGCGTTGCCCCAGACCCCCGCGCCACCCCCTCCGGCGCGCACCGCAGGTCCTGACCTTGGCCTGCGCCCAGCGCCCGTCCACGAGGATCAGGGTCACGGGCGCACTCCCGGCGACGTCCTCGCACACTCGGCGGCCGCTGGGGGCAGCGACGGCGGCAGCCATTGCGGCGGCGGCGGCCTCCGCGGAGGGCGGCGGCGGCGATGGCTGTGGCGGCGGCGGCAGCGGCGAAGGCCGCGCGGCGTCCGCGGAGGGCGGCGGCGGCGAAGGCGATGGCTGCGGCGGCGGCGGCAGCTGCGGCCTCGCGGCGTCTGCCGAGGGCGGCGACGGCGGCGGCGGCGACCTCGCGGCGTCCTCGGAGACGTCGCCCTGCGGCACCGGCTCCGCGGCGCCCCCCTCCGACGCCACTTGCGGGGGCCGCAGGACGACGGCGTCGGGCCCGGGGCAGAGCAGGACCTTGCCGAATGCCGGTCGCTGAGAAGAATACGAACAAGAAGAAAACGAAGAAGAAGAATAAGATAAATAATACTAAAAGATAAAGAAGCGGCGCCCCGGCGGCGCATGGGCAGACAGATGGCACATGCAGATTTACAGGCGCTTAGGCACATGCAGGAGCACCCATATGCTGCACAGTGCCTCGGGGCACTGCCTTTGTAGCCTCTGTTCTCAACGAAGCACGAGGGGTGGCTGACCGCTTGGTGGATAAGCCAAGGTCTCGCGCCGAGGTTCGAACTCGCTGTGGCGAGTCTCTGCTGCTGCTTCCGCCTTGGGGGCCCTCGCCCTGCCCAGGGGTGGCTCAAGAAAGGGCTCGAGACGGCAGCCCTGGGGAAAGGGTCGAGGCTTCAGGTCGGGCGTGTCCTCCTACAGGTGGACCTTGGACGAGGAGCAACAAATGATCCAACCATACCCCCCAAATGGCCAAACAAAAGTACCAACAGAGATAGCCCCCAGACCTTAGTGGGCCCTAGAAACGACAGGGCCGTTTTTTTACAGGTTCCGTTTTGCCGTTGCTTTGCCGGTTCCGACGCCGTTTTTTCACCGGTTCCGTCGCCGTTGTTTGACCGGTTCCGGCTCCAAATCCGATCCTGGAGCCGTTTTTTTTCCCAACCATCCTGTGGTGTTGGGTCCTCGTTTTGAAGAGACGGTGCCCCGCGTTCCCCTCCTTCCTCCTCCCCCTCCTCCCTCCTCCCCCTCCTTGCCTCTGCTCTCGGCACACCTCTCACGCGTTTCGTAGCCCCATAGGGAGCTCCACCGAAGGCCCCAGTGGGGGTGTTCGCATGCGGTTCCCCCACCCAGGGCAGCGTTTCGTGGCCCCATAGGGAGCTCCACCGAAGGCCCCAGTGGGGGTGTTCGCATGCGGTTCCCCCACCCAGGGCAGCGTTTCGTGGCCCCATAGGGAGCTCCACCGAAGGCCCCAGTGGGGGTGTTCGCATGCGGTTCCCCCACCCAGGGCAGCGTTTCGTAGCCCCATAGGGAGCTCCACCGAAGGCCCCAGTGGGGGTGTTCGCATGCGGTTCCCCCACCCAGGGCAGCGTTTCGTGGCCCCATAGGGAGCTCCACCGAAGGCCCCAGTGGGGGTGTTCGCATGCGGTTCCCCCACCCAGGGCAGCGTTTCGTGGCCCCATAGGGAGCTCCACCGAAGGCCCCAGTGGGGGTGTTCGCATGCGGTTCCCCCACCCAGGGCAGCGTTTCGTAGCCCCATAGGGAGCTCCACCGAAGGCCCCAGTGGGGGTGTTCGCATGCGGTTCCCCCACCCAGGGCAGCGTTTCGTGGCCCCATAGGGAGCTCCACCGAAGGCCCCAGTGGGGGTGTTCGCATGCGGTTCCCCCACCCAGGGCAGCGTTTCGTGGCCCCATAGGGAGCTCCACCGAAGGCCCCAGTGGGGGTGTTCGCATGCGGTTCCCCCACCCAGGGCAGCGTTTCGTAGCCCCATAGGGAGCTCCACCGAAGGCCCCAGTGGGGGTGTTCGCATGCGGTTCCCCCACCCAGGGCAGCGTTTCGTGGCCCCATAGGGAGCTCCACCGAAGGCCCCAGTGGGGGTGTTCGCATCCGGCCCGTGTTGCGGTCAGGGCAGCGTTTCGCCCCATAGGGAGCTCCACCGAAGGCAGTGGGGGTGTTCGCATGCGGTTCCCCCACCCAGGGCAGCGTTTCGTGGCCCCATAGGGAGCTCCACCGAAGGCCCCACTGGGGGTGTTCGCATGCGGTTCCCCCACCCAGGGCAGCGTTTCGTGGCCCCATAGGGAGCTCCACCGAAGGCCCCAGTGGGGTGTTCGCATGCGGTTCCCCCACCCAGGGCAGCGTTTCGTGGCCCCATAGGGAGCTCCACCGAAGGCCCCAGTGGGGGTGTCTCGCATGCGGTTCCCCCACCCAGGGCAGCGTTTCGTGGCCCCATAGGGAGCTCCACCGAAGGCCCCAGTGGGGGTGTTCGCATGCGGTTCCCCCACCCAGGGCAGCGCTTCGTGGCCCCATGGGGAGCTCCACCGAAAACCCCCGTGGCGCAGTTCGCATGCGCTTCCCCCACCCAGGGCAGCGTTTCGTGGCACCATAGGGAGCTCCACCGAAGGCCCCAGTGGCGCAGTTCGCATGCGGTTCCCCCACCCAGGGCAGCGTTTCGTAGCCCCATAGGGAGCTCCACCGAAGGCCCGCCCCGGTGGCGCAGTCCGCATGCGGTTCCCCCCCTTTCAAGGCAGCGCTTCGTGGCACCATATGGAGCCCCACCGAAAGCGGCACCCACAACGCGTTACCAACAATTGCTTATGGTTGGGTCTTTCGCCAGGATAATTCCCGTTTCCGGTCGCTGTTTTTTTTGCTGTTTCCATTTTCAAGGGGCATTTTTGTGGAAACGGTGAAAAAACGGCCCTGCCGTTTCTGAGGCCCGCAAAGCCCCAGACTGCTGCTTGACGATCCCAGAAGGTTTTCCCCCCGCAGAGGGCCAGGCCCGACTTCATCGAAGCTGGCGGTGGCCCACGTGGAGAGCACAGCCCAAACATACCTCCCAAATGGCCAAAAAAGTACTAACAAAGTTTTCCCCCAGACTGCTGTTTGACGATTCCAAAAGGTTCTCCCCCCGTAGAGGGCCAGGCCCGGCTTCATCGGAGCTGGCGGTGGCCCACGTGGCGAGCACAGCCCAGCGTTGGGGCCTGGGTGCCTGGCCGGTCACTGGGCCGGCCACGAGCCTCATGTACTCGAGGAGGAGGAGGAGGAGGAGGAAGAGGAGGAGGAGGAGGAGGAGGAGGAGGAGGAGGAGAGGAGGAGGAGGAGGAGGAGGAGGAGGAGGAGAGGGGATGGAGGAGGAGGAGGAGGAGGAGGAGGAGGAGGAGGAGGAGGAGGAGGAGGGGAGGATGGAGGAGGAGGGAGGAGGAGGAGGAGGAGGAGAGAGGAGGAGGAGGAGGAGGATAGGAGGAGGAGGAGGAGGAGGAGGAGGAGGAGGAGGAGGATGGAGGAGGAGGAGGAGGAGGAGGAGGAGGAGGAGGAGGAGGAGGAGGAGGAGAAGGAGGAGGAGGAGGAGGAGGAGGAGAGGGAATGGAGGAGGAGGAGGAGGAGGAGGAGGAGGACCGATCGCGAAAGCAGACCCAGACGATCGCGCATCAATCGGAACCGATCCTGCGATCGGCCTTCGCGCGGTCGGGAATCACTGCGACCTGCGGTCGCGCCACCAGAGCACACTGTGAGCAAGACGCATCGGTTGCCACCCTCGGCCAGGGCGGCGTGGAGGGCCAGGTCTTCCTCACCAGGGATCGAAGATCGGGGTGCGAGGGTGGAGGGTCGGACTTCCTGCCGTATCTCTTCCGTTTTGACCCATCGGGACTGGGGGAACCAGAAGGTACCGATACCGCTGCTCCCCAGACCTCTCCAAGGGTGCGTCCTGACTAGAATTTCGAGGCGAACCCAGCGGTGGCGACGAGGGCCTCCCAGGAGACACGAAAAGGGGAAACCGAGGGAAAAGTAGCGGTATGGGTATCTCTTCCTCCTCCGGCGCCAGCGGCGGGGTCGCCGCCAGTCGACACGACGCGAACCTTGCGTACAGGTTGCAACAAGAACAAAGGAACGTACAACAAAAACATGCGCCCCTTCCGCCGGCAAAAATACCCCAAAACATAGGGGTCACCAAGGGTCGCCTTCTCCGGAGAGCCACACGACCGTACCTGCCTGGCCTATCTGGGAAGTCACGGCGAACCCCCAACCCCCAAGCCCAGACGTCTACAGTACTGGGACTCTCCCTTCTTGACCCTTGGGACGCTTCTCGTCGCAACGGCCAGGGCCCCCCGAGGAGGCAGGCCGGGCTGCCCACCCAGGACGGGCCCGCAGGGCCAACAGGCCTCCAGCGCCACGAAGAAGAGGAGGAGCGGAGTCGGGAGCGGCAAAGAGGGGGGTGTCCAAGAGGGGGGTGTGCAAATCATGACCGGCAGCATGTGCGCGGCCCAGCGGAGAGCCAGGGACGTAATAAAATGAGATGAGGCGCCATGAAATCTGGGGAGATATCATGGCCCGCGCCACGATATCCACCCCCCCCTATCATGCAGATCCACATGGGGGTGGCGTCGACGGGGGGGGCGAAAGTTGAGCGCGCCGTCCGGCGCGAGATGATCTTTATCTTCCTCGGAGGGTGCCCATTGCGCGCGAGTTTTTCACCGTCGCGGTGCCCATGTTGCAGTTTGGTGATTGGGCGGGCTTCGTGACGGCCGGCTTCGTGCTCGGGCGAAGCGAACAGGTTTGGGGCGCGCGCGCATAAGCGTTCGAGAGCGGTCGTCTGGCATGGCCCTTGTCCTCGCGCGAAATGATGCGCCATTAAAGTCGCGTTCTCGAATGATCCTTAGAATTGGCAGTGGATTGCATGGCTCATTTCCGAGGAGTCGCGCAGCGCGCCTAAATCTTGAAGGGCGCCACCTTCTTCAGCCACTACTGGAGGGCGCGGGGCCACGTCGCGCCGGGGCCCCGGATTTCTTGATCCCAGGTCAAGGCCCATCGTACTCTATACGACGCGTTCTCTGAGCAAGGCCGCGTCTGAATCCTCGTAGCTAGAATGGCACGCGATGTAATGAGACAACGTCGCGGGGGCGCATGGTTTGACCCTGCTGCTCGTTTAGACACCGCCCCCGCTATCTTCATGCTTCTGGTGTTCGCGACTGGTGCGGGACGGGTGCATGCTAGCGGGCCCTTTCACGAGAGTACTTTGGCCCCCTGTCCGAGGCCCCTCGCACGCCCCTCCCCGCCCCGTTGCCCCCCACGAGCCCCTGCCTGGGCAGGCCAAGGTCATCGCTGCACCTCGCGTTCAAAGCGCATCGCCTCTTACTGCTGTCGTCGTTGCCCAGGGGGCGGGGGGAGGCAGGAGGAGCGAGGAGGAGGGGGAAGGAGGGGGGCGGGGGGGAGGAGGGAGGGGGAGGAAGGATGGGGGGCGAGGAGGAAAGAGTGGACAGCGGAGGAGGGAAGAGGAGGAGGGAATAGAAGCGAGGATGGCGTCCGGGTGCCACTGCGCGGCCGCGGTCCCGTGAGGATCCCCGATGCGGTTTGCCATCGAACACGCTCAGCTGCCTTCGCCAAGTCAGGCTACGCGGTCTCAATTGTCCTGAACCAGACGCCACTAGTTGTCTCAATTTGTCTCAAAGTTTCTCACCAAGCGAACCTTTCTGTCTCAATTTCTCTCAATTTGGGTCGCCCCCGGGATATTATATCTCAATTTCTCTCAATTTCTCTCAATTCCTCTCAAAATCTCTCAAATATTCTCAATTCCTCTCAATATAGCTTACCATGAGAAAGCGCTACTACACAACAGCATCTTGATGGGCCGTTGCTCTCTCAAAAGACCTTTTCGCGACGTCCCTGGGAATGCCCTCGGCTCCCCGACCCGCTTCCTTGCCTCTCGAGGTAATCGAGGATAGGGCCCCCGTCCACCCTCTCCCTCCCTGCCTTGACTCCATCCTCTCCCTCCCCGCCATTGATCTCCATCCCTCCCTACATCACTCCCCCCTTCCCTCCCCTTCCCTCCCTGCCTCCCCCCTTCCCTCCCTCCGTCCCTCTCCTCCCCCCTCCCCCTCGTCGTCGTCGTCGTCGTCGCGGCGGCGGTTGGCCGGCGCCCGCTCCTCTTGCCCCCTGGGCCCGCTGCTCGGGGGAGGGCGGGCTCCCCGAAGCGCCGGTGGGAAGCCCTTCGGCGCGGCCCCGTCGGAGGCCTCCAGCGCTCCTCCTAGGGCCGTCCCTGGAGTCCTTGGCAGTCATGCGAGGTCTTCGGCGTATGTCCGAAGCCTCTGCAGGTTGTCGGCCGCCCCTGGAGGCTCTCGGAAGCCCCGAGCCTTTCCAGGGTCCTCGGGACCCTTGGAAGCCGCCAGGGCTCGCGGTCCTGGTGATCGTCTTGGGGGCCGGTGGGTTTCGGGGGGCTTCGGCTGCCTCTGGCGGCTTTCGGTGGTCTCCGGGAATCCCCCTTGCGATCCTCGGAGGTCCATGGCAGCCCTCGGAGACCCTTTGTGGTCCCTGGTGTCTGCTTGGGCTCTTCGGGGGTCGTCGGGGATGTCTGGAAGCCTTTGGATGCCTCGGGGGGCTCGTCCTCCGGGGGGCTTGCAAAGTGCAAACGCACAAACATATGCACATGTGCATGTGCAAATACAGATGCACATGCCGAAATAATGATGATCCGGATTTGTGGCACGTTGTGCGTTGCAGGAACGATGCGTTGCTGTCGTCATTTTGCAACTGGTTTACGCTTGCAGGCGCAGTGGACTTGGGGACACCGCCAAGGGGTCCGATCAGGCTTCTGGCGGCGGTTCGCTTGTGTAAATGTACGAAACCTCTGCGTCGTTATATATGTTACGCTGTTGTGTGATTGCGCCGAAATATTGTTGCAAAGCGCCCATTCTACATACCCGCTGCGTCGAAGTGGTCTCGCGTGGCGGCCCTCCTCCATAGCGGCATCCATGGACGTTGCGCATTGTTGTGCAGCCGCGTGCGTTTGGTTGTGTTTTGAGCGTGTTTGGTTGTGTTTTGAACACCCCTTGGCTCACTCAGCGGCGGTTTGATCGCCCCCCCCGTCTCCGCCACCCCCATGTGGATCTGAAGGACCCTAGTCATCACCCCCCTCTTTTCCGCCCCCGACGGAGGCGGCCCGCGCTCTCGCGGGGAGGCGGGAGGCCCGGTTCGGGCCCGAGGCGCAGGGAGAGACCCAGAGATCCCACGCATCGACAGAATCCAACGCGCTGAAAAACGCCCTTCTGCTCCGGGGGCTCCGCCCGTCGTGGGGGATCACCTCCCAACGACCCCCTCGCGCTGCGAACAAGAATCGCGATCGCAGGTTTTGCGCGATTTTTCGGCGTCTGGGGGCCCTCGCCGGGCCTCGGGGCCGTCAAAGAACGACTCGGGATGAAAAGCCGGTCCTGGGGAGCGGGTGGAGATTTCCGGGGACCCGTGTTGAACAAAATCACGACGTCGGATCTCTGGGGACCCAGGCGGCCAGTGGGCGAAGCCCGTGTACAATCTCGATCATGTGAGTATCCGAAGCTTCTTGTGATCACCCTTTTTCCGCCCTTGTCTTCCCCCTCCCAGGAGCGCCGGCTCTGGCAACCTTTTGGTTACGCGTTCTGCCCACGCCTCCTTCATGGATGCACGGCCTTCTTGCCTTGACTTGGACACCCCAAACACATACCCCAAGGCTCGACCTAAACAGCGTTTTCCGTTTTCGTTACCTTCTCGGTTTCCCTCGTTCTGTCCTCGTTCCGCTGCTGCTGCAAGACGGCATATCCAAACGAAAGCGGTCCAGGAGATCGATAAAAACACCCCTTTATCTCGAGCCCTGGCATACACCATATGTGAGAAAGACAATATCACGCTACTGAGATACTGGCCCACGTCGCCCAAAAAACGTTACGTCGGAGGTCTCCCAGACCTTGATCGTGTGTCTCTGGGCACCTCTGAGGCCCTCCGAGACCTTGAGCCAGGCAAGGATCGAGCAACAATAGACGTAGAGATCCTTCGGAGAAGAGTGCCATAGCCCCCGCAGTTGCGGATAATAGAAGGCGGCGGGGTCGTCGGCAATCTGTGAGACGTTGAACAAGTCCGCCGCAGGCGCCAGCCGCTGGCGACGATTTCCCGTCCAGGCAATGTGTGCGGGTCGCAAGTGGATCTCGGGAAGATCGCGGGTTGGCCGCAGGGTGGGTCGCGGGGTAGATCGCGGGGTGGGTCGCAGGTGGGTCCTGGATGGGTCGCGGTAGGGTCGTGGGCGAAGACGGCGATATCAACAAATGACAAACAACAAACATAATCAGTGACGCGGAATCCCTCTTCAGGCACCTAGGGACGGTGTAAGACAGTTCGGCCCCCGCACTCGGACTTTCCAAAATACAAGATGCACGCATCACGTAGCAAGCAAATTTGCACTTGCCTGGAGCACGTAGCACTTCTTGACACAAAATTTAAAAGAACAGATGCAAGCTTCTCTCGGAACCCGCCCAAGGAGGTAACAGAGAGGCATAATCGAATAGTAGAGCTCTTGATCGTTCAGACGACTTTTCACCGAAACTTGTGTATTTCGGTGCTCGTTGTGACCCCCTCTGCAGCCAACCACCCCACCCGCTCGGAGGCGGTGCATGCAACGTCCCTCAAATACGTTCGTCATGTGATGCCCCCGTCTGGAACGACGCGACCGCAACAGACGCGCGCAGCACAGATAGCAACCGCCGATTGAACTGCTCATGGATCACGGTTGTCTACGCGTCGCTGAAGGGATGTTCCAGATCAAGCGCAAGCGCCAACAGAAAATTATCCTGGCGAAGGACCCAACCATATGAAGCTGTGGGTACCGCAATTGTGAATATCTTTTTCGGTGAAGCTCCCTACGGGGCCACGAAGCGCTGCGCTGGGCAGGGGGGGAACGCATGCGGGCGGTAGCACTGGGGCCGTCGGTGAAGCTCCCTATGAGGTCACGAAACGCTGCACTGTGTGGGTGAGAATGCCAAATTAGGTGTGTGTGTGTGGGACGCACGCAGGCGATCCCAGTGGGAACTTCGGTGGAGCTCCCCATTGGGCAGCGAAGCGTTGTAAAGGGTTGGTGGACATGCTAAATTGGGTGTGGGGGGGGGGCGCATGCGGGCGGCCCCACTGGGGGCTTCGGTGGGGCTCCCCATGGGGCCACGAAACGCTGTATTGGGCCGGTGGAAACGCCAAATCTGGTGTGGGGGACGCACGCGGGCGGTCCCACTGGAGGCTTCGGTGGAACTCCCTGTGGGGCCACAAAGCGCTGTACTGGGTGGGTGACAATGCCTAATCGGGTGTGGGGGACGCATGCGGACTGTCCCACTGGGGGCTTCGGTGGAGCTCCCTATGGGGCCACGAAGCGCTGTACTGAGTGGGTGACAGTGCCAAATTGAGTGTGGGGGACGCATGCGGGCGGTCCCAATGGGTGCTTCGGTGCGGTTCCCTATTGGGCCACGAAACGCTATACTGGTTAGGTGAGAATGCCAAATTAGATGTGGGGGACGCATGTGGGCGGTACCACTGGGGCTTCGGTGGAACTCCCTATGGCGCCACGAAGCGCTGTACTGGGTGGGCGAAAAAGCCAAATTGGGGGTGTGGGGGCGCATGCGGGAGGTCCCACTGGGGGCTTCGGTGGGGCTCCCTATGGGGTCACGAAGCGCTGTACTGGGTGGGCGAAACAATCAAATTGGGCGTGGGGGGCGCATGTGGGCGGTGCCACTGGGGGCTTCGGTGGAGCTCCCTATGGGGTCACGAAGCGCTGTACTGCGTGGGCGATAATGCCACAGTGGGTGCGGGGGACGCATGCGGGCGGTCCCACTGGAGCTCCCTATGGGGCCACGAAACGTTGCATTGGGTGTGTGAAACTGTTAAATTAGGTGTGGGGGACGCATGCGGGAGGTCCCACTGGGGGCTTCGGTGGAGCTCCCGATGGGGTCACGAAGCGCCGTGCTGGGTGGGTGACAATGCCAAATCGAGTATGGGGGACGCATGCAGAGGGTCCCACTGGGAGTTTCGGTGGGGCTCCCTATGGGGCCACAAAGCGCTGGCCTGAGTGGGTGACAGTGCCAAGTGGGGCGTGGGGGGCGCATGCGGGCGGTCCCACTGGGTGCTTCGGTAATGCTCCCTATGGAGCCACGAAGCGCTGTACTGGGTGTGTGAAAATGCCAAGATGGATGTGGGGGACGCATGTGGGCGGTACCAATGGGGCTTCGGTGGAGCTCCCTATGGGGTCACGAAGCGCTGTGCTTGGTGGGCGAAAAATCCAAAATTGTGCGTGGGGGACGCATGCGGGCGGTCCCACTGGGGGCTTCGGTGGAGCTCCCGATGTGGTCACGAAGCGCTGTACTGGGTGAGCGAAAATGCCACATTGGCTGCGGGGGACGCATGCGGGCGGTCCCACTGGGGGGCTTCGGTGGAGCTCCCTATGGGGCCACGACGAACGCTCTAGCCCCGGTCCTGGTCACTGTCTGCAGGGCCTCTGCCATGGGATCGGCGCGGCCCTGGCAGCGCAGGTCTTCTATGCATCCTTCCTGGGCTCGGACACCTCGGGGCGGCCCTCGGCCCCCCCAGATAGGAAGGCACCAACTATACACCAACACCGATCCTGGCCAGAATCACCCTGGGCCCAGGATCGGTGTATACGCCCTCCTGCCCTGCGCAAGAAGGCATATACACCGATCCTGGGCCCAGGGTGATCCTGGGCCAGGATCGGTGTTGGTGTATAGTTGGTGCCCTCCGACCAGAAGCGATCTCCATCCGGCGCGGCTGCCGGCAGGCACGTCGGAGCCCCCGAAGGACCCCCAGGGGCCAACCGAAGGCTTGAGAGCCATGAGCAGACCCCAGCCCCATCCCCTCGCGCCTCGAAAGTAGCAAGAGGGCTTCTCCACAAGGGTCTGCCGCCAGATGCCCGCACCCAGCCGCAGGACCGTGTCGACTACTGCTGAACTGGTCGCCGGGAAGGGGTCGACACCTCCGAGGGTCAACGCTGTGAGCGAGCGAGAGGGAGCGAGATACATAGAACGCGTTACGACACACGGCGTCGGGTGTCTTGGCCCAGCGGCTCGGTTTTGTCGAGGCGCGTGCCCCTGGACCGCTCGACGCTCCCCCCGTGAACCAACGCTTCGTTCTGACAGGCAGAAGCCAGGAGCCTTAAGTCGTGCCGGTCCCCCATACAGGGGGATGTTCAACGAAAAATGAATACCCCAGAAATGATCCAAAAATAAACAAAAAATAATATGGGGACTATTTTGTGAATATGTTTCGACGTTTTTGGTGTAGTTTGGCGGTATGTTTTATTTTTCGTCGTAAATACCCGTGTAGGGGGACACGCCCGATTTAACAGGAGCCTGCACGGCGCATGGGCACACAACGTTGCATCGAGTTCTGCGGCGAATCAGCACACAGCCGCGACGTATCCGTACGAATTGGGCAGACCAGAGAACCAGGCCGCGGTGCATGCGACAGACTAGAGCGTGGTCGGAGGTCTGGGGAGGAAGAAGATTACCCATAGATCCGACGACTTCTCATGAAAATGAATCATGAAACCCTTGAACTCCTCTTTCTCCCATCTCTCTGACCAAATCAATATGTGCGCAGGTTGGCGGGTCCCGGAACTGGGCAGGAATGCCCGCCGTGGCTTCCTCGAGACTCCGAAGTCAGAGGGGAGGTCGAGTAGAGGAACCAACACCTGTATACAGACAACCTTTCGGAAGTCCGCGTGGATCTCCTGGGTCGGCCAGAGGAGCCAGCAAGGTGTGTCCCAGCGCCGACCAAAGACATGCGCGAGGACCTCCGAAAGGTTGATGCTCGTGAAGAAGGCTGCCTTTCGACGGAGTGCACCCGTCGGATTTTGCCAGAGGTGTCCTTGGCTCAAGGCGGCCCAAGGATTTCCAGGGATGACCCCGCGGCCTCCAGAGCACCCTCCACGAGGCCCAGAGGGCCTCAGGGGCTTCGAGATGGAGCGACGAGCTGGGGAATCCGTGGGCCAGGGACACCTCCAGCAACACCCAAACTCTGGGTCGGACAGAGCCCCCTTTAGCAAAACAACCCTCGGCGAAAACGATCCAGGACCAGACCTTGCGGACTAAGGCCTGCACCCCCAAAACCCTTTTTTTTGAGAACCGACGATGGCGATCCGAGAATCGACTTGGCAGAACGGGAGTTCTGCCAACCCCGGGCGAACCCAGAGACGCCCCGCTCCTCGGGTGCCGGAAACGCGTCGCCACACCTGACCACCAGGTTCTTGAGGCATAGGCGTAGCAGCGGCACGGTGCCGCAGGGGCGCTTGGCCTCCGCAGGGTGGATGAGAACGGCGACGCGGGTCTTGCTGTCCAGGGGGCCTGCGGGAGAAAAGGCAGCATCGAGGAGCCAAGGATCGAGGAACGGCGGGGGCCAAACAGCATCAGAGGCCACACGCTCTCGGATGCGCGCGCTGCGTCCTTGGGTCGGCGGTGGCCCCTCGTCCAGCGTCGCCTCCAGCGCCGCCCCCCGGTGCGCTTCCCTCCCTCGCCTCCCCTGGCCTCGAAGAGGGCTCAGGGGCTGGCACTGGCGTCGGCGGCTGCCCTCACCGAATGACGGTGATCCCGATCTCGGCGAGGGTGGCAATATTCGGGCTGCTCGGGTGGCCGAGACATCGCCACCAGCCTCAGTTCGGGCATGTCCTGCTACAGGCGAGTTTTGGAAGAAAAACAAAATAACCAGGAAGGATCAAGAATAGTCCACAAATTCTAGAAACATCGTCACTCGACTATTTTTTTACCATTCTTGAGTATTCCTCCTGTAGAGGGACATGCCCGACTTCACACCAGCACTAAAATCCAGAACCATCTCACCCCGGTGGTGGCAAGACCCCGTGCTGGTGCTGGTGCCAGTGCCCAGGCCCCCCAAACGGCGCGCGAAGCGTGGACCTCCGAAAACTTGTGCTCCTCATCTTGCCCCCCCCTCGGGTAAAAAAAAGAGGCCTCCAAACGGCCCCCAAGAGGCCCCAAGAGGCCGCTCGGGAGAACTGAGGATCTCCTTGCCCGCAGGCGGCCGAAGGCATCATTCATCGCGTCCGCATGCTATTGCTCATACCCTTCATCTTCCCAATCCCCCACTCTCTCGTTCCTCCCATCCGCATAATATTGCACAAGGAACCATTGGATAAGGAATCCAGGGTCTGGAGGACGGTGAAGCTCCAATCGTGGATTGGCCATGGATTTTACCGCCCTCGTCAGGTAAGGGATCCTCCAGGGGCTGCAGCCAGCTGCGCACATTCCTTAGCCAACGCCTCCACCGTAACTGTTCTCCCCACACAGTCCCTCCCCCCCCCCGGGAAAAGAAAGGGCCTGAGGGCGGGAGCGCGGCGCACAGGCAGATCTTAGGCTTGCGGGCGCAGCCGCCGCAGCGCTCGCCCCGCGCCGCCCGGCCAGGCGCGCCTGGCGGAGAGGGTGCCAAACAGTATGCCCGCAACCCTCTCGGGTGCCAAGCTTTGCCCTCGACGTCGAACACCTTCTCTCGAGCAGGGGATCGGCAGCAGAATTGATTTACCCCAAGATGGATTTCGCCACCAGTATACGACGAGCAGGTCGATGCTTCGTAAGTCTGCTGGGCAGCCTGCGTATTTGTCCTAAAGGCTCCACGAGAAAATTCATTCTGGGGTACATCGATTCTGTAGTCGATACCCTGCTCGATTCTCCATCGACCCTCGCGGGTAACCCCCGCAGCGGTCGAGGGGAAAGGGTGCTCGAGCTTGTCTTGCCCTCGTCGGGCCTCCGGAGGGAGCTCCGGGAGCCTCGCGGAAGCAAGACCTGCCCCCCTCGAGGATCGAGGTTGGAGAGTCACGCGGTCTACGACCTGCAACCCTGGAAGATCGAGGTCGAAGGGAGCAAGACTTGCCACCCACGTCTTCCGCGTGGTTTTCTGCAAGCGTCGGATCTCTCTGGGCCTATGGGAGCCTCCTGGGACCCTGAGGCCTCCAGGGACGCCTGGGAAGGCGGGTTCAGAGGACTGTCGGCATTGTGCTCCTCCTCCTCCTCCTCCTCCTCCTCCTGCGGGGGATGAGGAGGAGGAGGAGGAGGCGGAGGAGCAGAAGGACGCATCCTTACATGGCAGCGCCACACCACACAAAAACCGGTGCGGCCGTCAGCTTTTTTCAGCGTTTTGGGCCGCGCCCGAGGCCCCCCCCCCCCCGGCGGGCGCCGTGCAGCCGGCAACCTCGGGGGAAGGCGTCGAGCGCTCTGGGGCCCAGGGTATTGCACCGAGCACGACGCCGGAGGGCCGTGGCCTCCCACTCCTCGCCCCCTCCTCCGCGGAGGGGAGAGGGAGAGAGAGGGAGGCCTCCTCGGGGAGGAGAGGGAGAAGGAGGAGAGGGAGAAGGAGGAGGAGGAGAAGGGGAGGAGGGGAGGAGAGGGAGAGGCGAGGAGGAGACGCCGATCCTCGCGGCCTCCTCGGGGAGGAGAGGGAGAAGGAGGAGGCATCGGAGAGGGAGGCGGGAGAGGCGAGGAAGGGGGGGGGAGAGGGGAGAGAGGACCGGGAAGAGGAGGAAGGAGGGGGTCATGAGCTCCTCGTCCCTCCTCCTGCTCCTCCCTGCCTTCCCTGCCACCCCCCCTACCTCCACAGACCTTCCTCATCCCGCGCCCTCTTCCCCCTCCGCTCCGCTCCTCCGTTCCCATCCTCCTCCTCATCCCTCATCCCGCCTCCCGCATCCCCCCTCCGTGCTACTCACTCCTCTTCCTCCGCCCTCCTGCATCCTACCTTCTCCAGCTCCTCCTCCTCCTCCTCCTCTTTTTCCTCCTCCTCCTCCTCCTCCTCCTCCTCCTCCTCCTCCTCTCCCACTCCTCCTACATCCGACATGTGTTTTATGTCCAACGTCCCTGCTCTAGCTCAGCCGTCGTCGTTCATCATCCTTCGCTTTCCGCTATATTCCTATTTCATCACCATCGGTCCTTTTGAACAGCTCCTCCTCGTCGCACGACTAGACGTGTCGGTAGGGCAGGCCCAGCGTTTCTCCGGAGACGCCCTCACACATTGTGAGCCGGACCTTGAACTTCCCGACAGCTACACGGACAGAGCCTAGGTGTTTTCCACGAAATGAATATCGCCCACGCGTCGCGCACATTATTCTTACACGCTGCCAGTACTTACACATATGCATGGTGATTCGCTTTCAACATCCAGCTAGCCTCTGAAAGCTGCACGCATTCGTCATACTACTTCAGCGCTGAAGCACACATAGAGGACACAATGTTCAAATGTTGCTATCGCCTTGGCGCCGCGAGCATGCGGTGTCCATGCAATGATGGAGGGCGGTTCCATTTCGAAACGGGGCAATCGCCTGATATTCCCGACTGAAGTATGTCGATCATGGTAATCCTGTGTGTGCAACAGTCGAGAGGGGCTCCTCTTCGAAGAGGCGCTCCCGCTTGAGACCCGGGCAGAGCTTATGACATATGACCCGACGTGTCATATTGTGCAATCGTTCAATGAGTGGATGACGAGGGGGCCATGTATAGCAAAACGGCGCAAACCAGTTCTTGTTCAAACTGGTGCCCTCGCCTGAGCAGTAGGCCCATTGGGCGCTTGTCTCTGAAGGGTTTCCCCCGTAGTGACAACGAATGCCTGCAGGGACTTACGGGGAGAACGCTTTATTGCAGCATCGTTGTTGCGCCCTGCGTTTACGCTGGTCCTTCTCCTCGACCTCCTCCTTCTCCCCTCCCCCCACATCTATTGAGCACGCCCACAAGCCCACCTCTCCCTCCTCCACCTCTCCTCCACCTCAGGCATGGAGAACATGAAGCTGAGGGAGATAACTAGGAGGATGAGACGGCAAAGAGAAGGACGAGGAACAGCCGGATGAGGAGGTATGCGGTGCTAGTGGCCATTGCATGAGGAGACCAAGTTACCCGAGCAGAGCAACGCACACCACGACCACGACGACGCCTACAACGACGAAGACGAGGCGGAGGAGGTGGCATCGGGGGAGGAGGAGGAAGAGGAGGAGGAGGAGGAGGAGGAGGGGGAGGAGGAAAGGGCACATAGGGGGAACATGTGGTGAGTCATTCGCCTTCCCCCTTTGCGACATCGACTCAACACTTTCCAGTGTAGGCTACGTCAGAAGGGGCCCACAGGCTGGAGGGGAGGCAGGAGGAGCCACACGCGACACACATACACACATCCAGATCCATGTCCTCGCGGACGGGATACCGCAGCTCGACTACAGGGACACGAGATCCAGTGGGTACGTTCCGCAAGGGACATCCTCCCAACGCCGCCCTGGATTCATGGGGCCGCGGCCGAGGAGTCTGGATTCCAGACCGCGGGGCCGTGGATACGGAGATGCTCTCTCCGCCCACAGCGACGATCCGGGAAGCACGGCAAGCAGGAAAGGGACGGGGAGGGATTATCGAATCAGCTCGGCCGAAGGGCCGAAAATAGCTGCCTGACATATCTGTGTCGTGCCCCCCCACTTTTCCAATCACCCCCTGTCGTCGACTCCAAGAGGGGTAGGCGACAAGCCACGATCCGGCTTTTCGCGGTGCCGCCGTGTACCTCCAGCGTCAGGCTGTTATATACTTCTGTGCTCGGCGAGGGTAATTCGGGAGCTAACCTACCGACCCGTACACAGCCACCCTGGCACAATTGAAATTCTGACTTTGGGGTCCCAGCTACAACATGTCCACACCGAGAAAGGGAGACAGGGAGCAGCAGCAGCAGCAGCAGCAGCAGCAGCAGGAGCAAGGGAACTGGGTCCTGGGCCCTGGGGCTTCCCACGGGACCCACTCTCCATCCTAAAATGCCTCTTCGACTCTCCCGGGGCCCGTGGGGGGGACCCTGGGAACACGCAGACGGCGAACGACCTCAGGACCCGTTTCCCTCAGGACCCGTCCGCCCAGCGGCGAGCAGCAGGAGGCCGAGCCTGTCTCCGCCGCGCCGCCCTCCGCCTCCATCGCGCGCGACAGGGCCCGGGCCCGAGTGAGGCCGGGGCCCCGCAAGGCCCAGCGGCACCCCGCGAGGCCGCCCGCCTGATGCGCCGTGGGCAGGCGCGCCTCGAACGAGAAGGCTGGGTGGGCCATGACGATGACGATGACGATGACGATGACGACGTCATCGTCATCGTCATCGTCATCGTCATCGTCATCGTCATCGTCATCGTCACCGTCATCGTCGTCGTCGTCGTCGTCGGCTGGCGCCCGCGCGTGAGCACTGAGCCCAAGGTGGCGCGGAGGAGTGGCAGGACAGGGGGAGCGCGCGGGAGTGGACGCCGGAGGCCAGTCGAGGATCCCAAACCGTTTCCGAGCCCCTGCTGCGGCCAGGGGGAGGAGAGGAGCGAGAAAGGAGGAGGAAGAAGAGGAGGAGGAGGAGGAGGACGAGGAGGAAGAGGAGGAGGAGGACCGCCACAAAGGAACAGACGACGGGGTTGCGACGAGGCGGCGACGGGGCAGCGACGGCAACCACAGGGCGGCGGGCCCGACGCGAAGGCCCAGACGACGGGTGGTCACTCGGCGGCGACGTGGCGGCGACGGCGACGACGCAGCCGCCAGAACGACCCCCATGCCAAGCAGGAGGGGGGGAGGAGGAGGAGGAGGCGGAGATGGAGGAGGAGTAGGAGGAAGAGGTATAAGACAACCATAAGAAACCAGGAAGAGGAGGAAGAGGTATAAGACAATCATAAGAAGCCAGGAGGATGATGATGATGATGAGGAGGAGGAGGAAGAGGAGGAGGAGGAGGAGGAGGAGGAGGAGGAGATGCAGGACTCTCCAAGCGCTGGCACTGTGTTTTGGGACCTCAGCAGACTCTCCTGTGGGGCTCTACCGCCAGAGTGCACTGGTTTCCTACCGACACCCTCGCGCCTTCGAGCTCCTGTGCTGGGCCTCCTGGCGGTCCCCCTCCCGCACGCCACGCCACTGCACTCCGTCGGCTGCCCTCCCCTCCCCTGCCCTGCCTCCACGAGGCCGGGGGGGGGGGCGTCCAGCGGTGGACTTTCGTTTCGGCGGCGCTCGCCTGCTTCTCGTTCGACTCGTCCGCTCGCGTTCCGTCCTCCCTCGAGGCAGGGGCGGCCCGGAACTGGACGGACGGATCGGAGCGCGAACGCATCGGCGAGCGGACGAGCCGCGGAGCGGCAACCTCGGAGCGCACGAGCCCGAGACTCGAACGAGACGCAGGTCGGACGAGGTGGGGCGGCATCGCGTCCAGCTTCGTCAGCCAGCGCCCCGCCCGCTTGTTGACGGAGCACAGCGACTCCACCACATCGGCCAGGGCGTCCTGCGGGCGGCGGGCACAGCGCCACACCTGCCATCGCTCGGACGTCCATTCCCTGTGCTTTTTTCGGTTTCGTGCGTGGTTTTTTCGCCACATGATCAAGGATGCTCCTCGATGGTCCTCGCCGAAAGAAAAATGCACACGCTCGAGCGATGCCAAGCACCCCGCCGCAGGACCGCGCAGGACCGCCGCCGCTCGGGCCCCCGGGGGGCGGTGTCGGGCCAGCGGGGCGCCCGGGTGCCGAGTGTCGGTGGCGTCCGCGGGGCCGCAAGCCCGAGGGGAGAAGACGGGATAGCAGAGCGGGCAGCGAAGCTAAAGAGATGCTTCATGAGTGTGATGAAGAGAATAGATACGTCTGCGCACGCACATCTGCACACATGTATTTATATATTTGTGTGTGATATGTATATGCATTTATATATATATAAATATATATATATATATATAAAAATACATAGAGAGAACGGGTAAGCACGCACTCAGAAGAAAGAGCCGTGCTGTAGGGAAGGCACGTGGCCCCGAGCTCACGCCTGACTTACAACTGAACTGGCTCACAAGAAAGAATGTAGAAAGAGAAAAAGAGAGAGAGAGATAGAGAAAAAAAAAAGGGAGAGAGTCAGAAAGCAAGAGAAACAATGAGGGTAGCGAGATAAAGGGAGAGAGGAGCACCTACACATGCATGGAAATACATACACACATACACACATACGCACATACATACATACATGTTTACCGGCAGACAGACATTCATGAGGACACGCATAAACACATCCACCCATACGTACCTACATACACACACATGCATCATTATACACATGCGCACATGCATGATTACACATATACGTACATACACACATACGCACATACATACATACACATACTTAGCTTCCATACATACACAAACACACACACACATGCATGCAACCTGCACACATACACACGTATACAGACCTACACACATGCATGCATCCATACATACATACATACGTGTATACATACATACATACATACATACATACATACATACATACATACATGCATACAAATATACATACATACATACATACATGCATGCATGCATGCATGCATACATACATACATACATACATACATACACACACGTACACACATACATGCATACATACATACACACATACATACAGACACACATGCATACATACATGCATGCATGCATGCATGCATGCATGTGTACACACATACATATACATATACATATACATATACACACATATATATACACATACGCATACACATACATGTACATTTACATATACCTATACATCTACAAATACACATGCATACACATACATACATACACACATACATATATATATCTACACATGTATACAGACAAACAAACTTATATACATACATGCATTCACGCACACCTACACACATGTATACCAGCATGCATGCATGCATACACACAAGCACTCATACATATATGCATACATGTATGCACACATACATGCATACATACATATGTACATATATATATGTACATACACGCATGCATGACATACCTACCTACCGGCCTATCTACCTACCTGCTTAGCTACATGTATACGCACTTCTGTATTCGAGGTCTGAGACAACAGAGAAGCAGAGAGAGATGAATCAAGAAATGCAGAGACAGAGAGATAGAGAGAGCGAGAGCTAGCGAAATATGGTCAGAGAGAGCGACAGAAACGGAGGCAGAGATACAGAGAAAGAGGGAAGAGGGAGAGAGAGAGAGAGAGAGAAAAAAAAACAATCACTGAGCAATCATACACACACATAACAGCAATGGGGGCGAGGGAGAGGCGACCAGGCGAGGTGGATGCATGTAAGTAGTCGGAGAAAGGGGAGAGGAAAGAGATTGAGGGAGAGAGAGAGGAGTATGAGACGAGGACACAAAAGGGAGCAAGGAGCAGGGTCTTTCTGTGCTCCTCCGGCGGGCGCCGACGGTGCTGGCTGCAGGAGCGAGCAGCGCCAAGGGACCAGGGAGGAGAGAGAAGGGGGGGGGGAGTATTCGCAGAATGCATCTACACACTGCCACCGTACAAGGCCAGGGCCATCCTGGCCCTGGCAGGGTGTACACGCCATCCTGGCCCAAGCCAGGATGCTCGATACACCACCCTGGGGCCCAGGACGGCCCTGGCCTGGCACGGTGGTGTGTAGATGCCCTCGTCGGAGAGTATGAAGGGGCCCCAGGACACACAAATAAAGACACACAAACAAAACTATTCCCTATACTTTCCCATATTTTCTGGGTTTCTGTCTTCCCCCCCACTTCCCATATTTTCCAACATTTTCTTTGGAATCGAGGATTAATTGTGTCTGTGTGTTTATTTGCCTCCTGAGAGTAGGGACCCAGGGAGACGGCGAGCGAGGACGAGGACGAGCGAAACGAGGCGCGCCCGCAAATGGGCGAAGCCTCGGCCGCTGGCACTCAACCTCCGCCGGAGGTGGCCGCGCCCGCGCGCGCCGGGCCCTCCGGGAGCTGATCGGCGATGAAGGCCCGGAGGGCGTCGAGCACCTCCTGTCGGCATTTTGGAAGCCCGAGATGAATACGGAGAGCATGGGTAGAATTCGGGGAACGCGCAATGATAGAAACCTAACAACTCGGAGGTCCGTGCGGACTTCGCGGATCGGTGCCGGAGACCCCTGGCGGCGCCTCCGGCGACGCCCCTTGGCGCGCTCCGCGCGCGAAGGAGAGGGGCCCCCCGCCGATCCGAGAAATCCGCGCGGACCTCCAAGCTTTCGTGTTTGTGGTCGTTGTTTGTTTCCCTAACAGTGCCAGCACGGTGGGGGCATTGGGTGAGGAACCATTGGATAAGGGATCCAGGGGCTGGAAGCAGGTCGGACTTCAACTGAGGCTTGGCGATGGGTATCACCTCCGCCCTCATCAGATAAGGAGTCCCCCAGGGTCTGAAGCCTCCTGGGCACATTCCTTAACCAACACCCCCACCGTACAGTGCCCAACAACAACTTCTGTCCAAAACCGACAGCGGCCGCTGTTGGGCGGGCGGCCTTGCGTCTTCCAGGGACAACGTCCGCGGCGGCGCGGACAGCGAGTCGGGTTCAAAAGGAACATGAACTGCCATCGGTCTTCGTGCCCATTGTTCCCGTGCAGATTTCAATCGTCCTGAGGCATGGGGGAGAGCTGTGGGCCTGGCGCCCCCCAATCCCGGACGTCGTGAAGGTGTCCGCCCGGCGCAGAAGCTGTTGGCCAGGCTCGGGGATGCACGCTGGGGGGGGGGGGGGGGGGGGGGGGGGGGGGGGGGGGGGGCCCATCCTCGGTAGGGGTGCGTTCGAATACAGTCATGGCATTGACCTAAGGAACCCTAAATAAGGAACGAGGCCCCTTTTTTCCATGGGTTAAACTTCGATTTCCCGTCGAAAGCATAAGGAAAACCTGAGGCAAGCTGTGAAACACTTACGGAACACGGAGCCCCTCCCCAACGAAAAGGGTTCCTTCTTCAGCGCCCCGACTGTAGCCCCCCCTGAAGGGGCATCCTCGAGTGCCCCGTCTTCCCTGAGCAGCCTGAACTCTTCGAGGCCTCACGGGTGGGGTCGGAGCAGATGGGGTCGGAAGATCGCGCCGCCACGCCGATGCATCGGCGATGCGGCTCGATGTGGAGGGCGATTTTCTCCACGCCGACGTCGCCGAGACATCACAAACGTCGCCGATGCAACGAGGATGCATCGCTGATGCATCGCCGATGGAGCGGCGATGCATCGACGA